CAATGTCGAGTTATTGATCGAAGCTTTGTCACATGACATTCGAGTTTTTTGATTGGTCAATAGGCCAGAGATATATAAGTTATATATCTCTGGCCAGAGATATATAGAAAAATCCATTCGTAATATACATTAATTTTTTAAAATCCATTTTAATTGTGTTATAGTATAGCTTTATCAATGTAAAATTAACTAACCATATATTTCGAAATAAATTGCACAAATATCAAAATACGAAATTAAATAAATTCATTAGTATTACGCCAAAATATAGAAGTATAAATAATTATATCATTTGTAATTATCACAAAAATTGTATCAATTCGCATTTTTGAAGTTAAAGTATTATATTTTCGAATGGGTAGAATATTAAAGATCTTATGTTGCTTGAATACTGTTTTCAAAAATATGTAAACAGCGATTTCCATATGCCTACATAGGAAATCAAAGAATTTGGAAATTTAGATTAGTAAAATTAAACTTCCAAGTAGAGCGGGTCTTGAAAACTCCAGAAATATAGAAATATCGTGAGTTCTCCCATGACATGGTGAATTGCGACCATTCACACTTTTTTGAAAACAGCTGTAATGATAATTTTTTTTACTAGTTAAGATAACAGAATTGAGTCACTAGGATTTGCTCTACTATCAGTGCGGTTTTTAAAGAAATCTCAAAGAGGCCATGATTAAGTGGACCACTAAAATGAAGAAACCTGAAATTGAGTGAAATTACATTTGAAATTATCTTTATCACACGAAAAATGTGCACTCAACATAAATCATAAAAAAAAGGAATAAATTTACCATATACATCATTTTGACAACTCTTTTGTCAATTGTATCATTTAATGTTAATTTATATCTTTCTTTGCATTTCTTTTTCTCTTGCTCTTAGTTCTACCCAATTCCTCTGTAAAAAAACTGGTTAATATCCCAACGGTTATCGCTTTTGTTCTCAGGAGGTGCGTGTATAACTGCTAATTATAAAAGGCCAGCAACACTGAAGAAAAGGATTGTTTTCTCTCTTCAATAATGATTGGTCTTAAGTGTACAGCCATATTTGAAAGTTGAGAACTTTGTTTTCAGCGTAAAAAAATTTACATTTCTTAATTTAGGAATAATTTAAGTTTGTTAAATGAACCGGAAAAAACTTTATTAAAGAATATTAAGTCCGTGTAGTACATACACGAAGGTAAATCTCAAAATTGACAACACACAAGTAGATTATTGAGATCTTAGAATTGTTATATATTTGATATAAATTTTAAATATAATGATAATAATATAACAACTATATTACGTACTTGAATAGTGCTTTTATCCATTCAAAAAAGTCTGTTGGATTTTCTATTATCGTAATAATGAAAATATATTTGCAGATATATAGTCGGATATATCTATTAAACTATCTGATACTTTAATAATAATGATGTATTATATTGGCATGAATAAATGACCTATTTTATACGTAATATTGATTAGAGAATTTTTTCTTATCGTTATAAATACGTATTTTATCTTGCGCACAAAATTTTTTATTTATATTACTTATTCATAATCGTAATAGTAAATAGTGAAAGTTATTTATTAGAAACCCCAAGTGAAATTTGAGTTGCTCGAATAATAATATTGTTACCACTGGTAATATTAATAGCAATCCAATAATTCAATTCTATGAATTTTTATTTTATTTATTTTATTTTCGTAGACCTCAAACACCCATAAACTGTAAATTAATAAGTCGATATAAAAATTTATTTAAAAAAAAAAAAAATTACAACTTTATTACCACCAAATAATCAATAGTTATAATTATATCACAGTCACTGGAAATCACTGGAACTTCTTTCACTAGAATGTTTAGTTGATATCCGTTCACTGAAAGCTATTATGCTTTTATTATGCTTCCAATTATTTCAGAAATTTACTTAGCATAGTTAAAAGAATACTCACTCGTAAAATCAATAGAGCATGAACAAATTTTTCCACTTCCTCAAATGATTCGTCATCCAAGGGTATTTTTGCTTTAACAACCGGTAGATAATATTTTATCACATTTTCTTTTATCAATCCATCGTAATATTGATACCAAATCCTACCTTTGTGCATTTTTTTACAAGCTCTTTAGAACCATTTAAACAGAACTGTACCAATTTATTATGATCATGGTGAATCTTATCTTCATCAGAATTCCACTTTCCACTTTTAAAAAACACAATTTCTTCCCATTTTTGATGAAGATAAGCATGGAACATGAGATCTGGTTTATTACCTCTTGATCCCTTTTTTTGTGATTTTTGCTAGCGATGCTCTAATGCTCAGACCTTATAGCCTCTACTTTATAATCCATGGCAAATAAAACATGGCCATATTCATTAACGAGCTATAATCTACTAATGTATTTTGGAAACCCTATGAAGGGAATTCAATTTGATTTCCTGCAAAGTAACCCTTTGCTATACAATTTTTAGTGTGACCTTCCATCCATTGGTCATGTGTCACTATATCATTTGATCGCAATACAAATTTAGGCAAATTTTGAATTTCATCTCTCTTTGATATAAAATCATTACATACATTCTCTACTACAGCATCTTTACTCAAGTTTCTTATATTAGCTTTTGTCCCTATTAATATTAATTTATATAAAGTGATAATCTTAGGTACAGGATCTTATTAGAAAGCCTCATCAGATGGACTTCAATCTCAAAAATACGGGCTTGATACATAAACCACAATAGGTTCATAATCACTTTCTGAAAGATTATATTCTTTTGAACTAAGATCAATTACTCCAATACACAACGGATCATCTTTTGGTAATTTGCCAACATCGATATTGCTTAATTTTGTAAAAATGTAACTGTGTGTTGGTATACAGTATCTTTTTTCTAAAAGATTGAAAGAAAAATTAGTTTATGTAAAATTCAAAGAAACAGATAACCGATTACCTTGATTAAAGATGGATATATTTTTTTTAAAGCTAAAGCTTTCCAATTTACTTCTTCAAAATTTCCTCATAAGAACCCATATCTTTTAATGACACTAGCTTGTTGATTAATAAAATTCAGAAAATCATCATCTTAATCAGAAATAGCCGGCATTATTATTGTCTTAACATCACCATAAAAATGTAATGGAAGAGATTCTCACTAACAATAGGTCGCTTTTCAATTGCATTACACTTATTAATGTCTGGACGTAATATTCATCATTTTATTCTAGGCAATCTAAATTGTTTATACTGTACTGTAATTTATATTATTCTAAACGTAACATGTGCATAAATCGTGTAACCATCGAAGATTTGATTGGCTAGCACTTTTTGATTACGTAACTTATAGATGCATGCAAAAAAAATAAATTGGTTTATAATAATTCGCGTAACTTGTATAATGTCAAGACAATATGTGTTAAATAGAAAATATAGAAATAATGAAAATGAACAGGTAGTTATTTTTTTTTAGTAGTATTTAGACCTTCTAGGTTACCTAAGCTATTTGACAAGATAGTTATTTTAGACCACGAAAAGTGCATCCCGTTAGTGAAAAAAAAGAGGTGAGAAAAGAGTGCTTGGTGGTTCAATTTCACCTTTTAGTAAAAAAATGGTGAGAAAAGAATGCTTGGTGGTTCGATTCCACCTTTTAGTGAAAAAAAAAAATGGGGAGAAAAGAATGCTTGGTGGTTCGATTCCACCTTTTAGTGAATAAAAAAAAAAAAATTGGGGAGAAAAGAGTGCTTGGTGGTTCGATTCTACCTTTTAATGAAAAAAAAAGAGTGCTTGGTGGTTCGATTCCACCTTTTAGTGAAAAAAAAAAATCAAAGAAAATTAAGAAAACATAAAATGGAATTGAAATTCACACAATGTTGGTACTTTTTGTGAAGTTGCTCAGCGTAGATGCACTTCGGATTATTCTTGGGCCACAAAAGATATGCAATCTAAAGGTGTTTCTTGTTGATGAGGACTACTTTTCCGGAAAAGGATTAGTTACGTGCCTCAAAGAAAATTGTTTCTTTATATTGCTAATAAAAAATATTAATACTGAATAAATACTCGGAAAAGGTTGGCATAAATTATTTTAAATATTTTACATTAAATATACTTTCTAATTTATTTTGATTTTATGAAATAATAGCAACATGTAATCCAAGAAATAAAGCCATTGGACAACTTGAAGAAACAACACCAGATAGGAAAAATTTTATTAGCACAATACTACATATACTTAACATGAAATTATTGGAAATTTGCCGATAATTATTCTTTGAATCAGAGAAAGTGATGAAAAATAAAGCAGAAAGAGCATGTGAAACTTTGAAGGGAAAGGTTAAGATGAGTAAGCCTATGTGTACCTCTCAAAAATAAAACGGATACAAACAAACTTTCTGAATTTTGGACGAAAAATGATAATGGTAATCATGACTGTTACTTCCCGTAAGATAATAGCACTGGAATTTCATACCGTATATGAATAACGGGTATTCAGCAAGTACTAGTTATCCGGCATGTCCTATGTGATCACTGAGTGATTTCTGTGTAACTTATTCGGTCACAATATACAAAATTCACTCACCTCTTACCGTTACGTACGAGGTGAGTGAATATTAGTGACCGAATAAGTTACACAGAAATCACTCAGTTCTTATGTCAAACATGTCGGATAACAAGTTATCGGTCGAGTCTTTAGCAGATGAATAATCAGTTATCATCAACAGCATTACTGATAGCTACATGTTAAACAAATGGAATTGCCAGATATTTGCATCATTTTAACAAACTGGTCGAAAAAGATGCGAAACTTAAAAGTGCTAGAAAGTTGTCTATCATGCTTACATATCGTAAATGATTTATAAATGATTTATGATTTATAAGTGGTTTCATAAGCATTTCATAAGGCAATTCTTAACTAAGGGTGTTCTCAAGCACAATGGATAGGCAAATTTTTAATAGTCGGAAATTGAATAAATTAACCAAGTGAACTGCCATTTCGATGAACAGATCAGCAAGCTACAAACCATCTTTTTCCTTAAAAAAATTTACTATTGATAAAGATTACTACATCTTTTTACATGATAAACAATAGATACTTTATTTTTTAATGCTCGAAGTTTTTAAAGCAAATAATCAATACCTTGGGGAGTTCTCAAGCATCGACCTAAATGTTGCACAAGTATTATAATTTTAGCTATTTTCATACCATTTTGAAGTCAATAATACGAATGACGATATTATTGAGATATGCTCAAACATTCCTGAGATTTTCTAATAATTATAGTGATGCTCAATTTCAACAATAGACCAATTAAAGATCTCAAATCGCTGCTTGAGAGGATTTAACGAAAAATGTGTATTGATAATGAAAATTCATAGTAAAAGTATGAAAACACTTGAGCAATACTTTGTTTACTTTAATTTTATGAATTTTGATAAGTCAGCACAAAAAAAAAGGGAGGCCGGGACAAAAAGTTTTTGGACTGAAATGGTAAACTCACTGTTCATTTTTACATTTAAAATTTTTCTTTCATTTAATAAACTACCTTACTTATCTTAATAACAAGCTCGACTGATAGATTAAAAATACTTTCCGTTAATTAAAATTTAATTCCCGACACATTTTCGACATACTGCACTTTGACCCATTAATTGAGGCGCTTGAGACAGAAAAAATTCTTGATTCTTTAGGTAATATTTGGTAAATCCCATATTTGATGCAGAGTTTAAAGTAAAAATGCGTATGTAATAAATGTAACAAACTTCTTGACTCAATCTATCTTTTTGACACTGGCTTAACAAAAATATATAAAGAGTAAATAAGATTGTCATTCAAGCAAGCAGCTTCATATTTTTGTTATATGGAAAAATTAGTAAAAGCAATAGGGACAGCAAGGTTAATATTCCTTATTATTTTTTGTATTTGCAAAAGTTTTGATGACATTTAATAAACTACTTAGAATTGATAAGAATTGAAGCCTTTATTTTTATCTATCAAAGCATAAAATCAGCTTAATAGTGTGAGGTTTTAGAAAAGCAAAGGAACAGCGCATTTCAGATAAATGAGATTTATTAAAAGGTTATTTGTTTTCAAATTTGGAGACTTCTATTTCTCGGAATTAGTAGACCTTTGAATAACAAAGATCATTAATTCAAATATATCGGAAATTATTATATAGCTTAATTGAAATTAATTATTTCTATCAAAATCCAATTCCTGCAATTAATCCTGAAACCTTCATCAGTTCTGACATAGATAATTAGTATATCGTTTAGAGTAAATTTATGAGACCTTTATTTGATCTATCATTGCAACTGCAATTATTAGAAAACCACAGTTTGAGCATATCGTCATTCGTATTATTGACTTTATCCAAAATTTATAACAATAGCTAAAATTACGTCATAATTAAAGGTGCAGACATTTAGAATTTTGGAGATGGCTACCCCAGCAAAAATATCACGCCGATACGGCATATTTGCCGTATAAGTAGAAGTGCCGTATACCGTATAAGTGTTGTATGCCGTATGAAATACCATATACCATATACCATCATTCACCTTAATTTAGTGGGCGAGTATAAAGATGATCTAGTGAAACACTTATTTACTACTTAACTAATACCTTTCAGATTACCATTCCATTCGGTCAGTGATTACATATTACAATAAATTTTTTAATGATTATTTAAAATGGTAAAAATGGTAACCTAAATACGGCAAAAGTATACATTGTAATCAGGGTTGACACAAACCGGTCAATGGTCAAGCTTGACCAGACCAGTTTGACCAATTTGACCAGTTGATCAAAGAGTTTAGTATTGGTCAAATTGGTCAAAGAATATTTAAATATATAGTATATATATACATATATATTTATATATATATATTTACTTTGTATACTAAATTTATTTATCTAATAGACTAGGCCATTTGACTAATTTGACCAGACCACTTGACCAATTTGACCAGACTAGTTTGACCAACGAATTTTTGGTCGACCAGTGATTTGACCAACCCTGATTGTAATAAAGACAACACGTTTAAAGCATGGTATTTGTCATGTGATCCCAAAAAAGTAAAAATGTGAATATTAATGATTGCATCAGAGAATTTCAGTTTTGAACCATGTAAATGCGAAATAACGCTCATGGGCGTTATTTTGAAAATAGGATCTTTCAAAAATAACATATGGGATCTTTGCCTTGAAAATGACCCTACGGTATCATGTACCGTAAGGTCATTTTTAAGGCAAAAACTCCATATGTTTTCGACATTAGCGCTCAAACTCATACAGAGAGATCTCCAAACTCCGGGTCGGAATGCATCGGAACTTGGTCGGATAGACCAGAATCGATCAATTTTGCCCAAGATCACTGAATTTTACTAATGAAACCATAGTCGTTCATTAAGTAAAAAATGCCCAGCTGATTGATAATTTTACTATAGCACCTGCTAACCAGAATAGCTAACCCTAACCACGATGCATTCCGGCCATTCCGACCCAGAAATTTAGGGATCCTCCTGTGAAAAATTAGCGTTCAGAATTAACGCGCATCCTAATGAGCACATAATTTATTATTTCAATAAGAATGATATACAGTCGACATTCCATAAGTGCACTTTCTATAAGTGCACTTCACATGCACTTTCCCTATAATGATAAATGCACATAATTTGATAGGTCTAATGCTGTAATGTAATTATTTAATACTATCGTTATATGTAGATTATGCTCCATAAATGACTATGAATGCACTTTTACCAAAAACGTGCATTTATGAAGGCAAATCTAGCTCCAATCTGCATCAAGCAATCCCGATATGAACCTGGTTTGAAACAAATATTTGGCGCAAATATGAGACCTTTAGAATACATATCGGGTTCAATAGGCAATGCATATTCGGAATGTCGATAGTTCTACAGGTAAATCAATAACTATAAGGAAGCATTATCGATTTATCAATAGAGCTATCAGCATTCCGATATGTATTGAACGCCTATATGAACCCGATTTGTATTTATTTTGCGCCAAATATCTTTCAAATCAGGTTCATATCGGGATTGCTTGATGCCGTGTCGGATTTAGAAAATCTACTCTTATTTTGAAATAACGTATTCGACAGGTGGGCGTTGTTTCGCGCTTACACGGTATTAATATTAAAGAAATTGGCAAGGTTATGTATATTCAGCAACTTGGTTTACGAAAATTGTGTAAAGCGCGTGAACTATTTTGAAAATTTTCAGGATAGTAACGCTATACGACATACTACATTACTCACGGTAACTATCTCACGACAATATATCCTCGGGTAGTACGACCACTATTTCGATCATCATGAAATCGTATCTAGGTTGATGCTCTTTATTTATATTGATTAAAGTTAAACCAACTGCAATAATGAATATTACTAAAGAAATGATACTGCCGATGATGGCTCTAATAAATAAGCTAGTGCTTCCAGAATCTGTAATTTTTGTATTGCTTGGAATTGAAATTGTTATACAGTCAACTATCTATATAATGGATTTTCGGGTCTTATAATTAATTTTTTTGTAAAATCCTTTATATAGCTTTTTACTAATATTTATATAACGGATTTATAATAAAATTTAAAATTTTAAGTCCGTTATATAGGTGATTTTTATTATGTCCGTTATATAGGTAGTTGACTGTAATTGTATTTGTTGTAACATTTGGAGTAAATTCAGTAACCCATCTATGGGAATCTTTCTGGCTTACATCTAGCATAAATATATTTGATGAAAGGATACGATTTGAAAATCGACCTGTTGAACAAATAAAAGATTAGAAAGTTTAATAAATAAGTAAACAGCATAAAATAAATAAAATTTTACCAAAAGCAACAAACATATAGCTATCTACTAATATCGCAGTATGTGATGTAAGATTTAGATTCGCAATTGGATTTAGAATGCTTCCAATTGACTATTGATATGTTGCAATATCTAAAATCCACAGATCGCCAAGAATTTTTTCGTTCTCACCACCAAAAATTATGATACGCCCGTCGGGAGCTTTCAATTTAAATGATTAATAGAAGAAACCTCACACATAAATATTTATTGATATTGCTAAGCAGAGAAATCAATACATAAGGAGGAATTGGGCCAGATATACTCTAATGAAATATCATTTAGATTATTAATTGCTACGTAAGACCAGGGATATAGCATAACGACTCATAATTAATCTCAGCAATTTCAAATATACCTAAGTAAAAATTAATGTGATATTGGTCATTACATAGTTTTGGCCATCCAAAATAGTTGGACTACATCCTTAGCTAGGACATATTCATTTATTACATACCAGTTTTGTCCACGTATCAGATTTTGTATTATATAACGATAGCTACAAAGCATTACATAACATTAATGAATAAAGACTAAAAGAGTAGTTTATCAAAGACAACACTTACATTATTCATTGGCAAATATGATTTGATAGTAAATCCATCAATATATAAAATATTATCGTCAGGCAAAGTGATTGCACAATAACCCGAAAGTGGTAAAGGCGCATTTGCATTGCGTTAATGTTAATGTATTGAATATCCAAAGATCATTAGTGATATTATAGCACCATTACGCAAAAATAGCAATCAATCCAATATTAAATTTAGCGCATGAAATGTAATATCAACCGATGTGATGCTAGTCCGTTGCTGTTTACTTGTATCAAATTGACTAACGAATGATTGATTAAAGGGTCTCCACCAAAAGTAAAAATCAAATCATTATCTTTTCCACCAATACACGATGTAATGGATTTTTTTTAGGACCACCAGTATAAGTAAGGTCAATCCATGATAATGAGACATACAATTGTTGTAAATGATTTAGAACATCTAAATAAAAATTCATCGTAACGTGATCATAAGGATCGTCAATAAATTTCCCCAATAAAATAGTTTTCTATCAATAAGGACTGAGGAATGAGCAACTCTTCCGCTTGGAATAAAAGCAGCAAAAGTTAAATTTAAGAGATATAAAAACTAAAATATGGCATTATAACTTTGGTTAAATAGCTATATAAATAATAACTTAAGGAACTACTTATATATTTATTTATATATGTACGATGGTTGTAACGTGAGTAATTCGTGTTTTTAATAATTGCACAAATTCTATAGCATTGTACTTAATTTTTTCGACCTAATACACAGTTTTAAAGCAATATCATGAATAACTGAGGTTATACTAACGATCTACATTAGTCCGTATTCTACATTTGTTTTAAGCTCTATTTGCATTCACGACTACACCAGGGCATAGGATCGATTTTACTGTCACATGATTTCCGACGTCTATCTACTACGCCAACGACACCAAATTTTCTGCGCATGCATGATGCCGATCATCAAATTTAAATAATAAAATTCTAACGATGATTTCAGGATTTCTCGATAAGTACTCGATTAAATTCAGTAAAAAAATTCTTATTTTAATTCTATAGTTTTGTAGAATTAAAATAAAAAAAGGTTCATTGAATTTGGTTTAGTACTTGTCGAGAAATCATCACTAAACGTTTTAAAAAAACCCAAAATATCTTAGAAAAAATTAAATTCGGTAAATTTTTCTTTCTTTAAACTTTAACCAAAAATTTCTCGCCAGTTAACTATCCGAATTTGTTGATTTTTTTTTTTTTTGTTCTATGTATTTATAGAATTAAAATAAAAAAATTTCAACAAATTCGGATGGTTAACCGATGAGAAATTTTTGGTTAAAGCTCAAAGAAAGAAACATTTGACCGCAGCTCCTTTTTTAAAGAAATTAAAATTTGTATGAAGATTACTTGGCACTTACCTAGTCAAATTTGATCAATTTTTTTTATTTTAATTCTATGAGCATTTATAATTAAAATAAAAAAATTTTGAGCGAATTTGACTAAGTGAATGCCAAGTTATCTTTGTTCAAAGTTTTGATGTCTTTAAAAAAGAAGTTTCGGTCAATTTTTTTTAGCTTTTGATGAGTATTTCTCGATACTTAGTAATCAAATTCGATATAAATTTTTTTACTTTAATTGTATGAATCATAGAATCAAAAAAAAAAAAAAAATTTATCAAATTTGATAGTTGACTGGCAAGAAATCTTTGTTTAAAGTTTAAAGAAGAAAAATGACCGGATTTTAATTTTTTTCTAACCGAATTTAATCAAGCACTTATTAGAAAATAATCGTATTCTTTAAATTTGTACTCTCCAAGTAAACATTTTTTAATTTTTTTTTATATAAAACTGCTTAATTCACAGCAAGTATTTTTTAATAAATTGAAAAATTGACTGCATAAATGTTAGAAGTATATAACATATTTTAAGTGTCATTATATAAATGCTTTTAAAGACATTTGAGCTCTAATTTTAAAATTGAAATAAAAGCAGACATAGCATTTGAATATTGGTAAAAAAAAAAAAAAAAAAAAGACAAGCTTTTTAAAAAAAAAAAAAAAAAAAGAGCAAGATTTTAAATTTGTTTAAATTGTCAGACTTAGTATGCGTAGCATTAGCTTCATTCAGCATCTAATATATTTCTAAAATAGTAAATTAAACTTAAATTCAAATAATTAGTATAAAAATATTTTTTAATTAAGTTATACCAAAGCTTACAGTATTAGCCCTTTTAGCTTATATTTGTTGTAACTATTAATTTTAAAATAATATTTAGTAATACGTAACTAAGAATAAAGTGTAAAATAAACTTCTTTACTAACTTTTAATATTGTAAATACATAGTATGCTTGTTATTGTCTTTCTATGTTCTTGGATTCGTTGTTCTTCTTTTATAAGCTTTAATATCCATTACTAACTTGTTAAGACCTTCGAAGCTTTTTTCAACAGATTTTGCCCATTTAACATTATTAATTTCATGCTGTTCTTGCACTATTGTTAATGCATCATACAACATTGTTTCATAATTTTTAAAAAGTTGATTTGAATTATCGCTTGTATGTATAGTAATATCTTTCAATATGTCTAATTTAAAGTAAATGCTTAATTAATTATATAAGTCGTAAATTTATTAAAGTTATATTTTTTACCTAATAATGAATTATGTGACATATTATTTCGTGCTAATGTTATATCAACTAACGGTTGTACAAAAGTTTGTTGGCCTGGTAAGTATATAAATGGATAAATATTTTGTCGTTGAACACTATGAAAAAATGCTGGGTTAGTAAAAAATAAAGATGATTGAACTAAGTGCTTGCATAAAAAAAACCGATTTATTAGAAATCCAGTATAGCTGCAGAACCATTTTTCAATATTAGTAATATAAGAATTATTGATATCCTTCTTTTTTAATAAAATCCATTCTTTTTTAAAGTCCTTACGTCATGAAGGATTTTCACATTTAGAACAATATTTGTAATACTGTTGTTGCTGGTGTAAAATAAGCCGTGAAGTAATAATATAAGTTACAAGATCAAGCCGTGGTCTGAAGAATTTGTGTAAGAAATTGTGTTTGACAACTTTTCAATGAGACTCAACAAGCATAGTAGTGCGAAAGACACAAATTCGATCTGACATTGCAGAGCGAGCCCAAAGTTGCCAAAGTTCATTATGGTACCAATTTATCCATAAATAAGACCAAAGATGTCTAAGATTATTAGTAACACAGAATTCATATATTTCTTTTATACATTGTGTCCAGATTTCATCTTTCATTTTAAAAATCTCTTCTAAATTAGGAATAAGAGTATGTAAATGCATATGACGTTTTATAATTGAAATAATTTGAGGACATAAATTTTTTGGACAAAACAAAAAGTATTTTTTTGCAATTTTGTAGGATAAAACTCAATATCAATGAATTATGCGCATCATAAGAGCTGTAAGCTATTCTTTTTGGTTGTGAATTATTTGTCAATCGCTTTTTAAGAGCTCGTTTGAAATGCCAATAACAAATTTGTATTTTGATATTTGTCTATGTTTGTCATGCTGCTGAAATTTGAGCAAAGTCCTTATCCATATATATATAATCAAGTTGATTTAGTCCGAAATTATATAGTATTTTAAAAAATTCAGCTAAAATTTCTGTTTGTGCACCATCTTGCTTATTCCCTTCAACAAATAAGTATGCCATTGCAAAACCTGCATCATCGTATTGACCAATTATAGAGTAAAGCTCATATCCTAATACATTTGTCTTATAAGTTGCATCTATGAATATTTCCTTATTTTTTTTAAGTTTTTCAAAAAATGGAGTAATAAAGTCTAAAAGTTTTACTCCATTATCATTATTAAACATAATAACTTGAAAATTGCATTCTTCTAAAAAAATTTTTGCCGATTTTATTTAATTAGCATCACGAATAAACTCTTTTTGGATAAATATTATCCACTATGCATAAATCTGTTTTTGGGTTATTTCTGGAAAATCTTGCTCCAACATACTGTAAATATTACTTGGGGCTAATTGAAGATTTTCTTTAATTTTTTTTTAATTTTTTCATTAACCCGATTTCTTTCAGGACATTGATAAAGTATTTCATGTTTAAGGTATATAAGTGCACTATCAGCCATCATATTTATAGTAATTCAAAGAGTACCACTACAGTCAAATCGTTCCATTGACTCACGATCTCTTTGTTGATTAAGGTCCTGATATTTTCGTGGCTTTTTTGCCAAATTTTGGCACTGAGAACAACAATATTGGAACATATACAATTCAACAGCTTTTTTCGAATAGTAAGTATTTAAGTAGATATAATAATATCCATCGCTATTACCAATTAAATCAGCAATTTTTCTTGAAATTTTTTGAGGACTATCATCTATATCTCTAATATCATCTAATGTAATATCACATTCAAAATCAATTTCAAGTGATTCATTTTCAAAATATTCATTATGGCCAATTGCAATAATATTATCATAAAGTTTTTTGGTCATCTCTTTAGGAAGTAATATTTCCTTTTTATCATTTTTGAGCGATTCTTTATAGTATGTTAAAGACTATAAATGACATGAATTACAAGATTTACAAGAATGATTGTTTTTATTAAAGAATTCATTTATAAGCTTATACTTTCAGCACTTTGAACATTTTTCTTGTGATATATTAGTTATATTTGTATCGATTTTATTTATTAATTGTTCTATTTTACAAGTAATGGTAAGAAAAGAATAGTTTTTAAAAATTAGTTCAATTGATTATACATAAGTTATTCATATATTATTTATATGTTATTTATACGTAATTATACATTTTTTAATTAATAACTGAAACTTACTAATACTATAAATTGATGATTAGCATTATACATATGCAAAAAATTTGGAGATGTTGTTGGCGTAGTAACATCTATCAGCCAATTAAAATTCAGGATTATGTGTAATATAAAAAAATCAAAACAAATGTTTGCTTTACAAAAACACATTTATCTCGAAATTTAGTCTAGTAAACTATCTTTGAAGCTCTAATAAAAAAAATTCTTTGTGAAATTTTACTATATAATTGCTCTTCTAATCCTTTCAAACTCTAACCTGGGCATAAACAAAGTTTTTTAGATTTGACGATATTTGTTTTTTGACTATTACGTGACAGTAAAATTGACCCTACACCCTGGTATTGCCATTCCACAACCGTTGCAAATGGTCCTTTCTAATGTTGATTATGCCAATTTTGGGCTCGTTAAACAATAGTTAGATAAATAGTTAGCCAATACACAGGTAAATCAATGACAAGTCTCCTGATATGTACCCAATAGTCTGCAGCATATTGGTAGTAGGGATGTTAAAGTTATATAACATCAATATGCATAATTTTGGAGGATGGCTAAAGCCAGGTATATCATAATTTTTTCAATTTTTAATTAAAATCGATTGATATTAGAGTTAAGTTAGATTAAGAGCAAATAGAGAATTTATATAGTATATAGTAAAATTGCATTTTAATACTTTTACTGAATCTTATTTAGTATAGGTGGAAATATATAAATATTATAAGATTATTTAATATAAAAAAACTCTAACCTAACCAAAAACTATACTATGACCCTCACCCTAACTCTAACTATTCTCAAATCTGTTTATTTTTTTTATTTTTATTTTTTTTTAATCTTCACGGGTTTTGCCATGGCTTGCTTTTTATTAAAATATATATAAGAATTATATATATTTAATTTATAGAACTCAGAGCCCAACTTCACTCGGTTACCTTACGGTTCTAAATGCAACCCATTGCACCAGTTCGCAGACAAACCAGAATTATTTTATCAAAAAATCAATAAAAAAAGAAAACGACCTATGACTAAAAAGGAGATATGAAAGGGAGAATAGGGGAAATGAA